CGCATGCGCGTGACGGTGGTGCCTTCACAGACCCGTCAATTGTCCGCCCTTTGAGAGAGGCCGTAGCTGCTCTCAGAAGGGGAACAGTTGACGGGCTGTTTATTGTTTTTATTGTTTTTCTTTTCATTTTTTCGAGCTGCGCCCTTGGCTCGAAGCCTGGATGCGTCAGCGGAAAATGTTTTATGACAGAAAAATCAATAAGTGTGTGACATGTGTTTACGCTGACTTGAGGATGGTGTTGAGGCATCTCTCGAGGCGGCGGGAACACATTTAGAGCTGGGGAATCGTAGAATTCCAGCTCTGTCACAGAGGGGAGAAGGAGGGGCTGTCACGCCGCTCGCTTCTTCTTCCTCGACTGCTGGCCAAAATTCTGGGTTGGCTGCGCCTGGGCTGCAGCCGGAACTGGAGATTTTCTAGGCCAGCTCGCCCTCGTCCCCTGCCTGGGCTGGGGACTCGGGGCGGACTGCGACCTCTGCGTTTTCGGTATTTTGAACCGAGCAGGGTTCGGAGCAGCTTGGACGAAGGGCTGCGAAGGCAGCGGCTGGGCCCTTCGAGAGAGGCAGAGGTGGAGGGCCTCGTCCTCCTTCTTTTTCGACTCGCATCTCCTCTGCATGGAGGCAAGAGCAGAGCCGAAAATCCCCTCGGGAACGATGGGCATGTCAAGCACATCCTCCTTTTCCCGGTCTGGGAGGTCGGTGAGGTTGAGCCATCTAGCTCTTTCCTGCACCACCATGATCCCCATTGTTTTGCCCGTGGCCTGGACGGCGCAGCGTTGGACACGGAGACAAATGTCTGTGACCGCGGCCAACTCATCCAGAACGGCCGGTCCAGGATTACTCAACATATCCTCACAGAGCTCCGCTTGGTATGCGGTTAGCAGTGAGGAAACGTTCAGAGCCCTGGCGGACAACGCTGCGGCTCTTTAGGACCGTTCAGTCATTGTCGACTGGAAACGGTCCACCTTCGCTGGCAGCGTGGGGTTCCCGCTTGGTGACGGGCCCATCCTCGGTAGGAGGTGGGCCACCAGCAGTTCCATCGGCGGTATGCGGAGCAGGCCGAGCCTCTGCGGGCGAGACCATGGTGAGGTCTCGCCGGGAGCTCCCGCCTGGTGAGGCGTGGGGCTCCGTTCCCGCGTCTCTTGCCGCCATCGGGTCCCGGCCTTACACGGCGTGGGATCCCGGTTCCACAGCTGCCGCTGTTAGTGAGCCCCAGACCGACACAGTGAGGGGCTCAGTCTCTGCGGCGGACGCCCCTGTGTCTTGATTGCCAAAAGGCGAATCAGTGGACATGAGGGAGTCCTGTTCCAACAAGCTAGCTTGGTGTGCTAGCCGTCGGTGGAGGCTCTTTCGGGTGAAGCGGGCACAATGCCCGCACGAGCCGGGGTTGTCGATAGCCTCCTGGGCGTGTTCCAGCCCGAGGCAGGACGAGCAGACCTGGTGTGAGTCTGTGCCTGCTATCTTCAACCCGCAGCCGCATGACCGAGCCTCCGAGTCCCTGACTCCTCTGGTGTGAGGGGGAGAGGCGTCCATCTTGTTCGCCTCGTGGCGTGGAGAGGACCCGCTCGTAACAGGTACGTCGTTGAGAGAAAAAGTGTTACCAACCCGTCCTTAATCCGGAGAAAAAGGGACGGTGTGGGTCCTTTGTTCTCAAAGAATATTGACTGGTGTGTCAATATACTTCTAATCCTTTTCTCCTCCGTGAGAGAGAAAAAGAAAAGCGTCCTCGCTACCGTGGTGTCGGTAGTAAGGGGAAGCTAGCTAGCAACAGGTGCGTAGCTAGCTTGAGAAAAAATCAAAACCTTACCTTACTTTCCGGGGAAAGAAACGGCGAGGTCGATTTTAATACTAACTGGCGTTAGTATTACCGTCTTCTTGCGAAGCAGAAGGAGTAGCCGGCGAGCGCCCGTCGACCGAAATGGTTATATTTGGGTTCAGTCTGTGGACCGTTAAGCTTGTCCAGCTACTATAGAGATGTGCTCTGAAGCGAGAAGAGGTGTTTGAATGACGCATGCGTCGTGGCGCAAGCTACTTATAGGGGGTGAATTCCCTGACGCTGACGTCAAGATCACCAGCCAATCAGGATTAGCGTAATGAGATTGATGCTTCCGTTTGCTCCGCGATGAGGCGCATCCCATAGTGAGACATCGAACGGACTGTTATGAATGAGAACATGGAAGGTGGTGGTATCAGCTGGCAGAGATCAAGTGCGGTTCACAACCTTTGTGACACCATCCCCTTTTTTATCCCATATTGTCATTCAGCAAGAGCCTACTATATGATGAGATTAAAGTGTAATAAAGATGAATCATTAATGCTGCAACCTGCAGTTATCCTGAAGTTTAGCCCTGCTAAATTGTAGATGAGGCTTCGGATTGGAGTGAAAAACATATATTCTGCATCAGCCCAAAACAATATGGAGGTCATGAATAATATAGGAGCCTATAGGCAGGCTGCAAAAGAAAAATGAAAACCTGTGTGAAGAGGGGATGTGAGAAAAAATAAACCCTACAGAGACACAAAAGAGGGGAAGGACTACTCTAAGTAAAGCAGGATTATTATAACAATGCCTTCTTTGCTTAACATTGATTGTCAGGTATTAATAAAACAGAAGTGATGGGACCATAACACGACAACAAGAGACTGAACTGCTGTTAAGATCAGACAAATAGTGTGAACGCAGCAAAACATCTGGCCCTCCTCTGACAGCTCGCAGATGTCTGCATGAATTTAAAAGTCATACCAACGCACACAATCAAAAAGCAGATGAATCACTGCGTCATTCATTACCCCTCAGGGTGCCATCCTCTGCACCGCGCGGAAATGTGGCGGATTCCCTCTTTAATAAATGTGGAGGCAGCTGCCGTTAATATATTTATATCTGCTCATGCACCTTGTTCAAAGCACATCCAGGGAGATTTCAAGCTATATAAGCTTAATTATTATCTGCTAAGACAACTGAGCATGCCAACCCCCTCCCCTTTCCTTCCCCAACATCTTTTATTCTCCCCTCTTCCTCCCCGATGCTCATTTCCCTCCCTTCCACACTGCTGAAATGGGATTTGAGCATTTGGGGTTCACATGGCGGCCAACGAGTCTAGAGGACTAAAAGTTTCTGTTCCGTTTCAATGGTTTACTTTGGGGAAAGTTTGAGCGAACCCACTCACAGCCTGGAGACATACAATATGATAAGAAGGCTGGCTCATATCTGATCACCAGTTGCATAAACACGGAGCGAGAGAGGAGGACAGCCTACGCGGGCTGATGCAACAAAAATAAAGCGAGCCATGTACCGCAGCTCGTATCACAGCCTTGTGTTTTATGTGTAATACCACTTCATTTCTTTATTCCTACTGCCCAAGCTGAGAGACTTGCAGAAACACCCACAATCCCTCTTCCTCTATGAGGCAAATCTTTTTTTATAAATCGCTGTGAAAAGTCACAGAAAGTCACATAGTACCGGAGGAGATTACTAGCATGTCCAACAAGCAAGTGCCGAGAGTTGTTGTGTTCTTCCTGAGAGCAAGAAAAAGACAAAAATCACAAACAGGATTTTGGAAAAGTTTCAGCAAACTTCCATTTTCATTTACTAAAATGTTGTTGCAGTTTAGTGTGCAAAAGCAATTTTTACATGATCATCAAGGTTGAATTTGCAATATAATCTGGGCTCATCTGGCAATTAAATAGATACGAATAAAGATAAAGTATAAAAATTAGGGCTGTCAAACGATTACAATTTTTAATCAGATTAATCACAGCTTAAAAATTAATTAATCATGATTAATCACCATTCGAACTATGTCCAAAATATGCCATTTATTTATGCATATTGTTGTGGGAATGGAAAGATAAATGAAAGAAGGCGGATATATCCATTTAACATACAGTATTGTAACGTTCCCCAAGATGAGTCGGAGACAGGCTTGTAGTTATTAGGCTATAATAACTAGTAATTGAAGACAGATGATAACAGGTCAAGTATACTTCGTGGGTTCTACCGCACACTAACTTATTTCCTAAACCAACCACAAGATATAGCACTGTCTACGTCACAACTCCCCGCCCTCCCCCGTCCGCTCCACCAACCACAGGCCCGCACCTCAGCCACCATCACGGTGCAGCTCTATGATTGGCAGAGAGACGGGGGATGCCTGAGTAGTGACACCCTGAGTAGCCTATCAGGATCGCTACACTACCCCCCCACTACAAAAGTTCCTCGCCCACGAGGAACATATAAAACACAGTACAAAACACTCCCCCCACCCTCTCCAGCTCACTGCAGGGACTACCCCACTGGCTGTCCCCAACCAAACCAGTAGCCTTTGAAAACACAGAAAACCCACCACAATCCCAGCCCTCTATAGTGTCTACCCCCCCACTACAAAATTCCTCGCCTACGAGGAACAACTAAACACAGCCCCACACTACACCTACACACTGCACTTTGACTAGGAAGAGCTGGGTGGACTACCATCCCTTCCAGTGAGAACAGGGCGCATTCTTGCCCTCTACAGGAACTGGGGGGTCTCACTATAACCTTACTACCACACAAAGTCTCTGAAACGACCCGGGGGTCGTGTCTGCCTTCTCGGCAGGGGGGCTGGGGTTGCCGGATCTGGCCCAGGCACCAAAAGACTGGGGGGACTCTCAGTCCTTGATGGGGGACTGCTGCTCTGTCCGCTGGGGGGTCTGCGGAGGGATGTCGATGGGACGTCTGTGTGTCCCGAGGTTCCTTCGGTCTGTGGGGAAGCAACGCCTCTGTACGGAGCCAGCCTGTCTCTGTGGAGCACCACTTTTCTCCCCTTTGGTGGCAGCTGCACCCTGTAGACCACTTCCCCCACCCTCTCCAGTACTCGGCAAGGACCAACCCACTGACTGTCCAACTTTGGGCACCGGCCTTTCGTTCGTTGTGGGCTGTAGACCCAAACCAGTTCCTCGGCCCGGAAAATGCTGCCCTCTGGTCCTGATGTCGTAGTTCCGCTTCTGTCTCACCCGCAGCACTTTTCTGCTGCTCGCGGGCAAAGGCATGAGCGGACTCAAGCCGGTCCTGCAGCCTCCTTGCGTACTCAGGACCAGGAGGCGTGTCCAGGGAATCTGGTGGCCGACCAAACGCCAACACTGCAGGGGTTCGAAGCTCTCTCCCCAGCATGAGGAGGGCCGGCGAACAGGCTGATGACTCCTGGACTGAAGACCGACATGCCATGAGCACCAGGGGCAGATGCTCCGCTTTGTTGAACGCCCGGCTGAAGTATGCCACCACCCGCTCCCCCTCTGGTGTAGTCTGGGATAGCACTCAGCCTACCCCAACGCCGCTAGCGTCGGTGTCCAGGGTGAACGGCAGCCGGGGGTTGGCTGGGACGAGAACCGGGGCTTCGCTCAGGGCACGCCGAAGGCCGTCAAACGCTGCTTGACATTGTTCAGACCACAGGAACTCCCTGTCCTTCTGCAGCAGCTGGAACAGGGGTGCGGCAATGCAGGCAAAACCCCGTAAAAACTTCCTGTAGTACGAGGCCAGGCCCAGGAAACTCTTCAGCTGTTTCTGGTTGCGAGGATTTGGCCAGCCTGTGACCGCCTGCACTTTCTCGTGCAGGGTGCCGATGCCCTCCCCCCCCACTTTGTGGCCCAGGAAGGTGACCTCTCTCTGTAGGAAATGGCACTTATCTGGATGTAGCTTCAACCCAGCGGCTCTGATCCTCTCCAGCACCACTTTTAGCGATCCTAGGGCCGCCTCAAACGAGCTGCCATGCACCAGGATATCGTCCAGGTAAACCAAACACTGTTGGCGGGGAATCCCAGACAGCACCCTGTCCATCAACCGCACGAAGGTGGCCGGGGCATTACACAGCCCAAAACTGAGGACCTTGAACTGCCATAGTCCTCGGCCGGTGCAGAAAGCCGTTTTTGGTCTGGCCTCCGGGGCAAGAGGGACTTGGTAATACCCGCTGCGGAGGTCCAAGGAAGAGAACCACGACGACCCTGCGACCAGGTCCAGGGACTCATCGATGCGGGGAAGGGGGTATGAATCCTTCTTGGTGACCCCGTTCACCGGTCTGTAGTCTGAGCATAGCCGCCAGCCCCCTGTCTTCTTCGGGACCATGACTACCGTCTGTCTGAGGGCTCGATGATGTCTGCCTGCAGCATGCTCTGCACTGCCTCGTCGCAAGCCTGCTGACGAGCCAGGGGGAGTCGCCGCGGGCGACACCTGATGGGCCGCGAGTCCCCCGTATCGATCTCGTGTTCCACCAGATGTGTTCGGCCCACCTCCTCCTCCTTCATGGCGAAACTGCTCTGGAACTCTAGCAGGAGCTGCCCCAATTGCTCCTGCTGCTCGGGATTCAGGCCGCCACAGTTCTTCCTCCACACCTCCAATACTGCAGACCGAGCCTCTTCTACCTCCGTCTGGGGTACTTGGGGGGGGGCTGTGCTCGGGTGGCGCAGCCCGGGGGTGACAGGTGGGGAATTGTCCTGAGTGGGCGTCACCGTGGGTACAGGAAGGGAGGGAGGGTTTGCTTCCGTGTCTAGGGTACTCACGGTGGGTGTCGGGGGTCTCCCCGCAGGCTCAGCAGGGTTGTGGACACGGGTCATAGTAATTACAGGCCCCCCCCCCGAAAACTCACTGTGCCGGCTTGAAGATCCAGGAGGCAGCCCGTCGCCTTCAGAAAGTCCAAACCCAGAATGCACAGGTCCTGTACATCCGCTATCCACACGGGGTGCCGCACTTCCACTCCCCCCACCGACACAGACAGCACTCCTCTTCCTTTCATAGCCGCCAACTCTCCGGTGACTGTGCGCAGACGCACCGCTGTTGGCTCGAACATAGTCCCACTGGGCAACACCTCTGCTCTCACCAGGGTTATTGTAGAGCCTGTGTCCACCAGTGCATCGCAGGGCACCCCCTCCACCTCGACAGGGACATAGCAGGAGTCCCCACCAGCACGGCCCACCGCGACGACAGGCTCCACTCCGGTGCTGTCATCTTTTTCAGGAGGGCGTAGAGTCTGGCTCCCCCTGCTGTGATGTCGGGCTCCCTCCGCGGATGTCTGAGTCGGTGGCAATAAAGCTGTGGTTTGTTTGGGGAGTCTTCGGGCTTGGTTCCACATATCCTCCTCTATGCGGGCCCCCCGTCGTTTCCCTGGCGTCGCCGAGCCTTGGTGCAGTCTCTGGCAAAATGTCCTGGCTGACCACACTCCCAGCAGACTCTGGTGTCTGGTCTGTGTGTTGGCTGCAGAGAAACAACCCTTATCATCTCTGTCAGCTCGGTAACCCATGCAGGCTTCTCCTCCTCCCTGCAGCTCCTCACCGCCGGCGCCACCGGCACTCCGCCGCTCCTAGCAGCTCCACTCCACACGTTCTCCCTCTCCACAGCCATCTCCAAGGCCGCCTCTAAGGACTGTGGATGCTGCAGCTGTACCTCGACCCTCAAGTATGCAGGCCAGAGGGCCCTGATGAACTGATCACGTGCCAGCTCACTCTGTACTCCGGGTGGCATGTGTGCATACGCCCGCCGCGTCAGGCTCTCCACGTTGTTAGCCAGTGCACGCAGCGTCTCTCCAAACTCTCTACAGCGGTTACTCAACTCGTTCCGGAGCAGCTCTGGCGGGAAACACTGTCCAAACCGCCTCTTCAAAGCCCCCGCTAACGCTCCATAGCTGAGTCGGTCCACAGGGCTAAGTAGTAGCAGACATGAAAGAGCCTCTTCTGTGAGGCACAAAGCTAGCTGTAGTGCTTTAGTCTCTACTGACCACCCCCCGGCATGAGCAATCAGTTCAAATTGGGCATGGAAAGCCTCCCAGTCTGCCTTACCCGAGAATTTGGGTGTTTTCACTGACCCGGCGGCGGCTGCTGCGGGTTGATGGGCGCCGCCATTGTTGTTTACCTCCAGCTTGAAAATGGCGCGAACCGTCGCAGAAGACGGAGACATTCCCGCGTCTCTAGCCATCCTCACCGCCGACTCTCTCAGGCGCTCTCTCACCTCCCGTGCACTCATGAACTCCTCTCTCATGTCCTTCGACCACCCGCATGCTCCATCTTCCTCTTCATCACTACTGTGTTCCTGCTTCACTCCCATCTTGCTGAACTTATCCATCCCCGCTAGCTTACCGGCTAGCTCCGTGACGCAGTTACGACTCTCGTCCGGATAGACGTCCCTTGTTCGAAAAGTTCACTTCTGACACCAATGTAACGTTCCCCAAGATGAGTCGGAGACAGGCTTGTAGTTATTTGGCTTTAATAACTAGTAATTGAAGACAGATGATAACAGGTCAAGTATACTTCGTGGGTTCTACGCACACTAATTTATTTCCTAAACCAACCACAAGATATAGCACTGTTTACGTCACAACTCCCCGCCCTCCCCCGTCCGCTCCACCAACCACAGGCCCGCACCTCAGCCACCATCACGGTGCAGCTCTATGATTGGCAGAGAGACGGGGGATGCCTAAGTGACACCCTGAGTAGCCTATCAGGATCGCTACAGTATCTATGTTTATTATAACATTTTTCTGCGTGTCAAAATGAAAGACAACCCACACACCTATCAATCATCAGACCGTGGGGTCTTAATTCGTTACGTGTTGATTTCTATCAACGGGGGAGTACTTCAGGAAAGTCGACGGGGGGGGGGCGGCTAGTGGAGTACTTCGTGATTTACATACAGGTGGTTTTTTTTACATACAGATTGCTTGTTTACAATTTTCCTTTTAGATGTCGTTCTAATACATCCTAACCGGACATTTAAGACATACCAAGTCTACAGATATACAGTTAGTAACAGAGTCTAAAATGGGAGTATATACATAGATGGCGGGGGGGAAGCTGTCCATTGAACGACAGGTTGAGATTTGTACCATTACCGGGGCCAGTTTTGCAATGCTCTCCCCCGAAGGTGCTCTTTAAGAGAGGTTTTGAAGGTAAGTATAGTTTACTTTCCTTTACAGTTGTGGGAAGAGCGTTCCACCCTTGATGTGGCATAATTGCGAAACGTGTATCCCCCTTTTTTGTGCCAAATCTGGGTTTCACATGATTTGTGGAGCTCCCTCTGGTGTTATGATCATGGTATTCCTTGACCTTTGGGAAGAATTTTGACATGTACATGGGTACCATAGAGGTGTAGTGGATCTTGTAGACCAGGCCCATTGCAAGTAGCTGTACTCTGTCGTCTACTCTAAGCCATCCTAGGTTGTCAAAGTGGGCAGAGGTGAGGTGGGTTCTAGATGAAAGGTCAAGCAGTAATCTGACCAGTTTATTTTGCGATGTTTGAAGTTTTTATTTTTAGCGCCTTGGAGGTGCTATGGTACCATGACGTGCAAGCATAGTCATAGTACCCTTGAATGAGTGCTTCTGCCAGAGTTTTCAGGGTGTTTTTGTTTACCAGAGAGGAGATCCGGTATAGGAATCTAGTTCTTTGATTGACTTTTTTTATTACATTGGATGCCATTTTGTCACAGGAGAGGTTTGCCTCAAGAATAGATCCTAGGTATGTAATTTCCTTCTTACTTGTGACAATAATGTCGCCCACTGCAACTGAGAAGTCGTCGGATTTGCTGAGATTATGTTTCGAACCAAAGAGAATGGACTCTGTTTTACCCAGGTGTAATGATAATTTATTATCGGCGAGCCAGGTGCAGATTCTGCCGAGCTCGGAGCTGAGGGTTTTTTCAACCTGCAACCTGTTCCTGTCAGAGACCAGCAGGGCTGAGTCGTCCGCAAACAGGAACAAGTTGCAGTCACATGCTGATGACATGTCATTTACATAAATTAGGAACAGTAACGGACCTAATATGCTTCCTTGTGGAACACCACAGCTCACTGGGAGGGGGGGGGACAGAGTACCGTTTACCTCCACCATCTGTTCTCTCCCCTCTAGGTAGGATTGCATCCAGCTCACCGATAGTTTATCAAAACCAATTGCTTTTAGCTTGTCAATCAGAATGGGGTGATTGACAGTGTTGAAAGCCTTTTGTAGGTCCAGCATCACCATGCCGCAGTACTTGCCCTCGTCCACCTCTTGTTTGATGTGGTCGCTCAAATAAAGAAGGCATGTGTCAGTGGAGTGGGATGTTCTAAAGCCAGATTGAAATTCATAGATTAGTTTCTTTTCCGCGAGGTACTTTTCGACCTGTTCATATACTATTTTTTCCATGACTTTCGAGATGGAGGTAAGTATAGAAACAGGGCGGTAGTTGCCTGGGTCCAATTTGCTGCCCTTTTTGTGCAGGGGGGTTACTCTTGCAATTTTGAAGTCTTTGGGTACTTTTCCCTGTTTTATGGAGAGGTTAATTATGTGAGCTATGACTGGTGAGATGGCGGTTGCTGTGTCTCTGAGGAATTTGGAGGGGATATTGTCGTGGCCAGTGGCCTTGTTAGGTTGGAGGGCGCTCAGTTTAATGAGTACCTCTGCTGTTGTTACCCTTGCTAGACTGAAATCATCTTTGCGTACCCCTAGGTTTTTGTAGTAGGTCATGATGTGATCTACTCCAAAAAGCCCTGAGTGGGAGGGTAATTTATTTACAAGAGTTGTGGCTATGTATGTGAAAAAAATGTTCAAGTACTTGGCCACATCCAGTTTGTCTGTGATGAGCCTGTTATCTGTCTTTATGTTTAAGTTAGAAGATCTCGTTTTGAGTTTTTTACTGCAGCCAAGCTGGTTATTGAGTAATTTCCAAAGTTCACAGGGTTTATTTTTGTTTTCCTCAGTTTTGACATTGATGAAATTCTTTTTGGCAGTTTTGATCATGGAGCTTACGTCCTTTCTTAGTCTGTTTCTTTCAATTTTGAGTTCAGTCACGTGGGCCTGGAGTTCACTGCTCGTGCTTTTGGAAAGCATTGACTGACTTTTATGAAACTCAGAGCATTTTTTGTCTCTGGTTTTCATGGCGGTCAGTATGCCGGAGTGCATCCACGGCTCAGTGCGATTTTTTACCCTGGTTGTTCTTAGGGGGGCCAAATCATTGAGTATTGCAGAGAATTTGTTTTTGAAACCAAGCCATGTTTCTTCAACTTGTGTACCACTGAGCTCATCTGACCAGTCCAGGCTCTCCAGTTCTAGGTTAAAGGCCTCGCTAGAGTAGTTTTTGAGGTCTCTAGATATGACTGTTTTGTGACAGCCGGCCCTTTGTTTTAGCTTTTTGCGGGTACAGAATATCATATAATGATCACTTAACCCGCATGCTATAACCCCTTTACTGGAGATCCTGGACTTGTCAGAGGTCAGAATGAGGTGGTGGTGGTGGGGGGAGGGAGGCTCCGTTGTAGCTTTAACCGTTGATATGCTAGCAGGGTGACTAACAACATGGCGGATATTTGTTCCCTCGGATCTCGGTTCTCTTCCTCTCGTCACTGCCTCATGCGTGTCTGTCTGCCGAGGCGTCCCCGGGGGAATCTCGAAGTCTCCATTTATTCCTTGGTCTCCGCTGTCTCCACGGTCTCTGTTGTCGTCGCGTAGTTGTTGTTGCAGCGGAAGAGATGCTAGTTCTGATGCTAATTGAGATGCTAGCTCCTCGAGCCTGCAGGACTGGCTTCTTGTCTGCACCGGGCCCGGATTCAGATGGATGTCTCCCGCTAACAATAAGACCAAGACGATCATACTTCTTCGGTCTAGTTTGCCTGACGGGGGTAAGTACTTTCGCGTCGGGTTTGCAGTTAATAATGCATGAATGCTTGCACTTCCAAAAGCAAGGTGTTTCCTTTCCCAGCCGTTGAGAAGGTAAAAGTCATTGTGGTTCATTTTATCCCCGCTTTCATTACTCTCCTTCTCTAAGTGATGTTGCCTCATTGATGAGTTGAGGTAGGAGTCCATAATCCATATTGTCAGGAGGATGAAATATGTAAAAAATCGTGAGGAATAACCGCCAAAGCGGGAGCTCTCGAAAATGCGACCACTCATAGTGAAACCGGATGTTGTTCCGCGCATGCGTTAAATGCGTTAAATATTTTAACGCAATTAATTCAAAAAATTAATTACCGCCGTTAACGCGATAATTTTGACAGCACTAATACAAATACATAAAATTGTTGGATAAGGATAGAAATCGAGACGAGAGAGAGATGTTGTGCATATTGTCTATCGTGGTCTTGGTCAAGCTTTTAGTTTACATTATTG